AATAACAATTATTCTTAATTCTATTAAATCAAACTAAATATACTTTTTAACTTACAATATTTAAATACTAATAAAGTAGGATAGCTAACTCACCAAAACATCTATTCCCAATTACTAACATAGTTTAGACTGAAATAAGGACTTTACGATATGTACACAGATGTTACCCTTTTAAGCCTGTCAATGCAGTCTCTTCTCAGTCGCTCCTCAGCCTGCTGTAAGCCCAGGAGCTCCTTGACAGAAAGGACCGATTCATCGATCACGGGACCTTCCAAGTCTTTGTCCTGCTCATTTTCCTCATTTCTAGTTCTCCTTGGTTTCCTAGGTCTGGACCTCTGCTTCTTGTTTTCTTAAGTTGGGGGAAAAATATTATTGGCAATATTGAATAATGTCACTCCTAAGTAAAAAGCAAAACTTACATATTTATTAATTTAAATATGTGATTGAATAAATGATATCTTAGAATGAACATAGAGGAAAAAAGAAATGGTAGCTTGCCCATGGACAAACTGCCTGAATATTCATTCAACTCCTCTACTGGATACATCAATCCACAAAAATCATCTTTTTGAAAATGTTAAAAAAAAATTTGTTTCCATTATATACTTTTATCATCTCTTCCTGGTATACTGCTGAGCATATTCAAGCAACAGTAAAAATTATAATCTTCTGGAGCCAAGTATTCTTGTAATCTAATATATTCTAGTATACCTGCTATTTGAATCAAAACCATCCACATCTGCTCTCATATTTTGCAAGTGAACAATCTCAATAAGGCAAAAATGGACACTACACCCCCTAGAGAACTCAGAAATCAACTACATCCTTATCTGCAGTAAAAATTAATCATGTAGCTGCAAATTTAGCTTTTGATAACACAAATGGAAACTGGGAGGCTTTCCTCTTATTAAGTACTAATACCAAGATCCAGGCCAACATTATATGTACTGAAAACAATTGTTTTCCATTTTATGTTTACATTCATTTTAGCTTCTTTGAACTACTTGCACACTCAGCACATATCAAAGAAGAAAAACAATTAGCAGTTGAAATAAAACTTTTCTCTAAGTACAGATTACTTCATTACTTCATAAGCCTTGTTCTACAAGTCTTAGAACTATTAAGTCAATCTGTTCCTTTGTAAACAAAACTTTTCAATCTATGACACTGAAAATGACTGTGGGATTGAATTGTAAAAACTATTCTAAATAGCTATGAAAAGTTCTCAAAATGAAGCTACCAGTAAGACATACAATTAAAGTAATATTTATTTCCCAAAGGAGAATTCTGATAAATGGATTAAGGTTTTAAATGGCTTACTAAAAATTAGTCTTTGGAAATACAAATCTATTGAAATGCCTTACATGAGGCAATTTCTGTAATGTTTTCCGTTATTAATTGTGCAGCAATTAAAATGAACCCTTTGATTGAGGAAAAAAAAATTCTGTGTCAGCAAAGGGAGGTATAGGACCTCCAATTTTTAAAACAGCTATTGCCATTAGCAACAATCCTGTGTCATGGATGCTATATCCCCAATGTATGATCAGAGAAAATGACAGAATAAGTAACTTGCCCAGGGTCACATGGATGTAATTCTGAAACTCAGGCTTTTATCTAACAATATAAGATCTGAAAATAAATTACTAAAACCTTTTCTTGGAGTATACCAATTCATATATAGAAGAGATGACCACTCACAATACAATATAACCTTTTGAACTGCATTTCAGACCTGCATGGGTACTGCTGAAAAATTCCCATGGTTACTTAGAGGAGGACTACATGGCTCATTGTAAGTTCAGTGTGAGTTCTCTATAGTCACTTGATGGCAACGGGGGGTGGGGGTGGGGGACAGTCAACTTTCTAACTTTCTCATATATTATTTGCATATGCTTTATTATTCCATTCACAAAGAACACATGTATCTGGGTGGATGTTTTCCAGTTAATATCATTAATGGCATTGTCCCAAATACATTAAATTGGCAAGTAGAACATTTGGCAGACAAAGTGGGGTGCGACAATATAGAACTGAAAAACAGAAAGTTAATACTAAAAAAGAAGGCAACTCTAAGATAATTTTCATTACATCTCCTTACATCATTTAATAAGACCCTTACTAAGGTACAGATATGATTTATGGCAAACTTCAGTCCCTTTAAGAATTCTTTCTAGGATCTTTTGAATCAAGTACAAAGTTTATACCTTTACTTGAATTTCTCTCTAAAGTAAACAAGGTTACACCACAGCTTAACATTTCGTTCATGAAGATTTTCAAGGGATAGAAGCTGAATAGCTCTTCATTTAGTAACCGTGAAAGCACATACTTTTATTTCTTTTAGAGAAAGCACACAAGCTTTTGGATTGTTTTCAATTAAAGGATAGCAAAAATGGACTTCCTGTTCAAAAATACTTAAAAGCAACTTCTTCACCTCCCTTTAAAACCAAACAAGAATATATTCAAGAGGTTTTCAGTCTATAAACGGTCCCTTTTAACATCTGTCTGGTTGCAAATTTTTTTTATCTATAAATCTTTCTTTTTAAAATGCCTTTCAAGGCCAACTTATTCTTTTCCAAAAGACCAATGACAGGTAACTAAAATTCCACATCCCACTGGGACACAATAATATAAAAATAATTAAGTATTCACAAACTTTTTCTTTAAAACAAAAACAAAAACCATCAATTATAAAGAAAATGCTCAGTTTCCTCCATCAGGATTCTAGGTCAAGCAGAGGCTGAGTTAATGGCCAGAGTAGCAGAGGGCAAGATTTCAGTTTTACTTCCTCATCTACCACTCTGTGTGAATGAGCCTGGATAAACTTAACCTCATCAAGCTGCAGCTGCCTGATTAATAAAACTGCTATTCCACATTTGATATATCAAGATAGAAAGCTGCATAATCCCTTCAAGTTCTTTTTAGCTTCAAGATTTAGCTTACAGAGGTGAAGGTTTTATTTTTCTCTAGTATTTGATTCCTTTATTGGAAAATAAAGGAATTCCTTTAGTGGAAAATGCCCACATCAACTAAAACCTTTTAAAAGTGCTGGCTAGTTTGCAAGCCATTCTATATGACTACTCATTCTGTTTCTGCTACTTTATACTAGATATTTTCGGTTAATTTTTTTTATCTTAAATACAGAACTTTAATGGTGATGGTTGAATATGATGAACATAATGTCAGTGAACTGTACGTGTGCAAATTATAGAAATGGCAAATATTTTGTTACCTATATATTTACCACAATATAAATAAAGATACAAAATAACGTATTTTTCCTGATTTAATACTAACAAACACTTGGAATTTTCATCCAAAGATACAACTTTTCCCTTAAGTATTCTACGTGAGAGAGAGGAAAAAAAAACATATTCTATATGGCCAGGGTCACAAACTCAAACGCTTACAGGTAACATATACATGCACAAATTGGTCACCGTGAGGTAACTTGAACGAAAAGAGAATTTGGAGACCTGGAAAATGCTCACACCACCTAAAAGCATCTAAATTTAAAAAAATTTAAAAGTGCTGGCTAGTTTGCAAGCCCTTCTATATGGCTACTAAAAAAGGCCTTCAGCCAATAAACTTAAAAGCTTATTTTTCCAAGTATAATTTACATTTTCAGACTAAATATTTTTGTCTTTGGGACAACTATTAGCAAGCATATGAAGGGTTTTGGCTTTAATGAAACAGCAGAGTTTTTACTGCATTTCTGACTTTCTAAATTTATTTCTCTTTGCCTCTGTTTGACACGCTCCCTTTAAAGAGAGAGAAAAAAATCTTGGACCTCCCGAAAGACATACATCCCTTTTGTGGTTGGGGATATATGCATGCCACAAAATATATTGTTTTTTACATCAAATCAGATTTTTGTTTTGCTTTATATTTTGTTATTTATATTACAGATACAGTCATTATTCAAATACAAAATTATAATATATTGCTTTAAAAATACATACACACCACTTAAAAATTATGATATGGTCCCAAGGGACATACGGTTACTTTCTTCAATAAAAAGCACCAATGAAAAATATGTTTACTAAAATGAGCTTCATGCAAAGTAAACTTTTAAAGGGACCAGTATACGAAATGTGTTGAAGCTGAATCACATTAAATAACTGACTACTTTTGAAAAGCAGAAATTATGAAAAACTGGAACTGCACTGCTGAAAACAAAACTCATTTGAATGAAAAAGAAGAAAAGACATGTTGACTTCGGGGTTGTAACTTGACAAATTGGAACACATTACCAGAACTTCCTGCTTCCATTTCTGACATAGTTTCTAGGCTGGTTAGTTCTTTATGAAACAGTCGTCTTACAGTTCTGCAGCCTCTCCCATCTTGCCACCTATAACCATCTTCACTTTCTTGATATGAGTCTTTTCTTGGTCGGCTTATAACAGGAATTCTAGGTCCAGGTTTGAATTCTCTCCAATTGTCTGAATTACCAGAAAGTTCATCAGAAAGCCTTTTCTTACTCTGATCTTTGTGGCTGTCATTTATCCAAGCTGGTTGGCTGTAAATTGGGTTTTTAAATGCATATAGATTGTTGGAAACAGCATATGGTCCTTTTCTGGGAGTATTCCCATAGTTCCCTGGTGTTACTTTTTTTTTCGGAAGGCCTTTTTCCATTTTACTGCTATGGCCTTTAGCATAATCATCCACTATTAAATAATCTTGTTGTGGGTGACCCCTTCTGAAATCATCATCATCTATAGTCCCTCGGTCTTTAGCACGCTTCACAAAATATGGTTTTGCTGCATCTCCCATGGTCTTTGACTGCAATTTTCTTACTCTGCACCTGAAAGAAGGCATTTTGGGGAAAATCAAACCATAACAACAATGTATTATACAAAGTACATAAAATACCACATATTTACTGCAGGGACGCCCAAAAGCCTGCCATAAAGTCTTACTTTTCTACTTATTCTTTTAATAAAAGCATCTCCATCATATTCCCAATAATCAGTGCATCATACTAGAAGAGAGGAGGGTTGGGCCTATATAACATTCTTCGTGAAAATTAGATCTTACTACTTAACATGATTAAATCTGCGCGTAAGGGGAGCTCCTATAGACTTATAGTAAGATGCTACTTATACCAAGTTGGTGGGCTTTTACGTATATAACAAACCTGTTTCTTTTTAAAGAAAATCGCAACCCAAGCCTATTCTACTACAAAACTACCCCCAGTCTTATTAAAAAAGAAAAAAAAAGTTGACAATTACTTTTAATTGTTTATACAAGTAACCGAAACTTTACGTGAACGGAATACATCTCTCAACTCCACTTTTGCGCCTCTGCTCCCTTCATCACCACCATTCAGAACAGACCGGCTCGGATCGCTTTGGCTACCGTGGGGCTGGGGTCCCCACAAGGTATTGCTCCAGTTAAACGGGGCCGGGTTTCCGACCAAGGGACAGCTCCAGCTAACCTCCCCATTCCTCATCCTCCAGCCCCAAACAAGTGTGGTTGTATCACAACAATTCCCTGCGGAATGACTACCTCTTCGAGTCCCATCTGATGAGCCCACCCCCAATCAGCCTCAGTTTCTACACCCTTCGGGGCCGGAGGCGGAGAAAGAGGAGGCGTTCCCACACTCCCGGCCACGAAACCACCGCCAGGAACGAGAAAGCAGGAAGTGACATGCCTCCTTGATGGGGTTCCGGGGTCCCACCCGACCGTCCAGGGGGCTGGAGCCCAGTGCCTCGATCCAAATACCTTCGACTGCCCCTATAGGCTCTGACACACAGTGAAAGCGCGGACTCTAACCCGACAGCCCACTCCTCGCCGGCACAGGAACTCCCCGGTCCCCGATACTGGGGCGGCGAAGGGTGGAGCCAACGTACCTCCGGGGCCAGGCCCGACCTCTGCTCTGGAGACCAGGGGAACCCACTGGAGACCCAGCCCAGAGCACAGTCTGGAAGGAACGCGGAAGGAAGACACACCGCAGCACTCACCACCTCCGCCACTGTCCTCAGCTTCTTCCTGTCCCGGCCGGGCTCCCTCTCCGTGTTTTCTTTCGGCCCCACTTCCGGCGCTCAGCTCTGTCTCATTGTGCGCGATTGGGAGCCGGCGGTGTCACCGCCCCAGCGCTCCGCCGCGCACGCCGGAAACGCGCGCCGCGCTCAGGAGGCCTGCCCACTGTCGCGGGCCCAGACAGCTCGCGCTTCCGCTGTCGCCGAGGTTTTTCCTCTCTGGCTATGGCGTCCGTTCTCCACCTCGGACGGCCATGGCGGTCGAAAGGCGGCAAGGAGTTCTTTGGCGCGGCCTTCTCCTGCCCGCGGTTTGCGCGGAGGCTGCGTAACCAGCCGCCCTGTCCTTCCTCGCACATCGCTTCGCCTCGCTTCCGCTTTTTCAGATGCCTTTGGGTATCGAAAGCACCGGTTAAGGCAAGGAAGAAAGCTTGTTTTCCGGAGAGAGACCCGGAACCGAGCTGTCAGGGCGCAGCCGGTCTCGCAGTCCTGCGGGGAGACTCGGCTTAGCCCCTGGATGCTCCTAAATGGCTTCCAGGGGAAATTAAGCCTTGGTCTGAGGCCTCGAAGCGCTTTTGCTGTTTTTCTGATAATTCTGTATGAGTTAAAGTTTCAATGAAGTCTTAATTGACGAACGTGCAGAAATCCACTGTTTATCGCGACCTCAAGGTGGTCAAAGGACACGCTCTGCTTTTTTCTTAGATTGTGTCAGGATTAGTTTTACTTAATTTTTTTCAATGTATTTTGCAAAATATGTAATCGTAAAGGATGGTCAGGGAAGGTAATACTTAAATTTTTGAACCGAGGGGTGCAATCCTTGAACTAGCAAACCACGTAGGGTTGCTGTTTTTTTGACTATATTACTTTCTTTTCTATCAGTGGTGTTCTAAATATTTTGAAAACATTAAGCAACTAATAAGATGAGCAAGTGTTGAGATATTTTGATAGTTTTAGGTTCTCTGATTTTTAAGAGCATTTACATTTAAATCCATAAGCCTATGGAGCAATGGTCTTAAAATACAGTGAACACACATAGTACTTGCTATTGCCAGACATTGTTTTAAGGGTCTTAGGAATTTAATCCTCATAACCGCCATGAAGTAAATATTATTCCCATTTTAAAGATGGGAGAATTTTACCATTTACAGTGAAGTAAATAGCACAATTGGAATTAAAGCCCCAGGCAATCAGCAGGGTCTGTGTTCTTAACCACTTGACTATACTAAAGGTGATTTAAAACATATTTGCACAACTTTTGTATAATTTCTTGTTTAGATGCGTTTGTTCTGAAAATGCATGAGAATTAAGCTAATAACCTGACAGGCAAACAATGTCCTTTAATATATTTTCTAAAGTGAGTGTGTTCATATGTGATTATATTTATTACGTGCCAGCAGCATCACCACACCCAGTTGAGTAATTCTTGTACAAAAGAACTGGTTTAGAAAAAGTCTGACTCAGTTGCCTATAAATTTAGAGGAGCAGTAGAAGATATATCTTTTTAATGGTTTAAAATACTTTTATTGCATTTTCTTGACTGTGTTTCCTAAAGTCTGACTTCCCATTAGTTGTCTTTAAGCTTCGTCTTGAGGGTAAAATAAGCTCTATACGACAAGATGCTGCCCTCAGAGTCGCCCAATGGCAGTGGCAGTTCCTGACTTTACATCTGCCCACGCAGAATGTCCAGCAGAAGAGAAGGCAGCCTCCAGAAGCCAGGAAGAACTTTCCAAGAAACTCTTGCAAACTTCATTGTACATCTTAGTACCCTTCTTGTTGTTTTTAGCTGCTGTCAAGTTGGTCCCAACTCAAGGCAACCCAACGCACAATGGAACAAGATGCTGCCCAGTCTTGCCCCACTCCCCACAATCGGTTGTAGATCAGACAGTTGTGATTCATAGGGTTTTTATTGGCTGATTTTCAGAAATAGATCTCCAGGCCTTTTCTTCTAGTCTCTCTTTAGTCTGGAAGTTCTTAGTCTGTAAGTCTGAAACCTGTGGAGGCAACATGAAAGCCTCCACTGATGAGTGGTGGCTGTGCATGAGGTGCATTGGCCAGGAATCAAACATGGGCCTCTGGCATGCAAGGTGAGAATTCTACCACTGAACCACCAATGTCCTGTTAGTTTCATTAATTGGGTCAAAAGCTCATTCTTAAATAAGTCACTGGCAAGGAGGATGCTATTACCTGTAGGCCAGGGTTTCTCCACCTCCGAAGGGACTATGGATGTGTGGGTTGTATAATTGTTGTGGAGGCCTGTTCTGTGTGTTATAGGATGTTTAGCAGCATCCCTGGCATCTATCCACTAGATTCCATTAACATCCCCATCCCAGCTGTGCGATTAAAAATGTCACCAGGCATTGCCAAATGTCCCCTGGGGAGCAACATCACCCCCCCAGTTGAGAATCATTGCTTTAGACCATCAGGCCTACTCTTGGAGCTAGGAGCTGGGGTCAGCTTTTTTTTTGTTTGTTTCAGGATTTGAGCAAGGACCATACATTGCATTTAGTTGTCATATCTCCTTAGTGTTCTTTAATCTAGAACAGATTGCCAGCCTTTTTTGTTTGTTTTTCATGATACATCTTTGAAGAGTCCAGGTATGGTGAAATAAGTTCGTTTATGTGCATTTTGCCTTGGTTCTTTGGAAAAACAGCTTGAGAGATTTTTTCCCCTAAACCCTGAGGAGTTACCTTTGCCCTAGTTTTCTACCCCAGAGGGTTTGTTATTTTTGTCTAGGTTGATTGACATTTCCTGGGTAAACTGTAAATAACTTGGTTTGATACTTTTTGACTGGTCCTAGGCTGCAGGCTGCCCTGTGATTGGTATGCTCTTTGCAGGGATTGGTCAATAGACTATAAGAATGAAGTGTCTGTAGCCTAGTATGCAAATGAAGTGTTTGTGCCCTACTGAGAGGGGATTGGTCAGTTTGTGGCCTTGGTGGGAGGGCCATGCCTTGAAATTGATGAAGAGTTTGTGTATATAAGCAGCCAACCCCACAGGTTTTTTTCAGACAGGAAGCAGCAGGAAGAAGTAGAGAGAGGAGGCAAGGAACCTCCTAAAACAACTGTAACATGGGTCAAGGGCTGTAACACTGAAGGCAGTGAGAGGCCCAGAAGGAGCAAGAGGAGGCCTAGAGGAGGCCTGCAGTTGAGAGGAGCTGAGAGAGCTGACCTGCACTGAAGAATGGAGACTGCCTGCACATGCTTCCTGATCTTGATCCTGAGTTATAGCCTGTTGATTCTGATCCCAAATTGCATCTTGTTACTTCCTTAATAAACCACTTAACTGTAAGTACCATTTGTGAGTTCAGTGAGACATTGCATCGAATTGCCGAACCAAAATGGGGGAGGGAAGAGTACTGTAAGGAGGGGAACGACTGGTGTCAGAGATGGGGTGGTACAGCAGCTTGGAGGATGTGGAAATCTGGGATATATTTGACCTCTGCCTCAGGAATTCGCTTTATGCTGCTGCTTATATTTGAAGTTATTTGTACACCAGCCTTGTTCTTTTGCAGAATGTCTTTCACAGATGTCTGATTGTTTTCTCATGATTGGATTAAGGTTAAAACATTTTTGGCAGGAAGACCATAGATAATGTGTCCTTCTCAGTGCATCACGTCAGAGGACGTATGATGTGAATTTGTTCTTTTATTGATGATACGTTTAATCATTTGGTTAAGATGGTGTCTACCAGATTTCTCCTTTTTTTTTTGTAATTAATAAATAACTTGTGGAGTGCTAGTTTGAGACTCTGACTATCCTATTCTCCCATACCTTTCTCTCAATGGTTGTCTTAGTCATCTAGTGCTGCTGTAACAGAAATACCACAAGTGGATGGCTTTAACAAAGAGAAGTTTATTCTCTCACAGTCTAGTAGGCTAGAAGTCCAAATTCAGGGTGTCAGCTCCAGGGGAGGGCTTTCTTTGTTGGCTCTGGAGTAAGGTCCTTGTCATCAATCTTCCCCTGGACTAGGAGCTTCTCTGTACAGGAACCCTGGGTCCAAAGGACATGCTTTGCTCCCAGCACTGCTTTCTTGGTGGTATGAGGTCCCCATATCTCTCTGCTCACTTGTCTCTTTTATATCTCAAAAGAGATTGGCTCAAGACACAATCCAATCTTGTAGATTGAGTCCTGCCTCATTAACATAACTGCCACCTGTCCCACCTCATTAACATAATTGAGGTAGGGTTTTTAACACATAGGAAAATCATAGTAGATGGTAAAATGGTGGACAATCACATAATACTGGGAATCATGGCCTAGCCACATTTATACACATTTTTGAGGGGGACACAATTCAATCCATGACAATGGTTTTCGTATGCATTGATGATTCTCTCCTGAATCAAATATTAATATAAAACCAAAAAAAATTGTTGCCGTTGAGTTGATTCTGACTCATAGCGACCCTAGAGGACAGAGTAGAACTGCCTTATATGGTTACTGAGGAGCAACTGATGGATTCGAACTGCCAACCTTTTAGTTAGAAGCCAAGCTCGTAACCACTGTGCCACCAGTTGTAAAATGGTGATTTTCTATTTGTCATTTCTTCTACATTTATTAGTTGACACTCTTCTTCAAAGAAGGACTTTCCTTTGTCCTCCTAATTCTTTTAAATTTCTTTTTAATGTAAGTGGAATCATGGATTCTATTTTATCCTGTATGTAATAATTCATTCCTGTCATTACCTATTTTAATGCTCAAATTGTCCC